CGATTGCCATCCAAACAAACAATCTCCCAATACTTGCAGGCGATGCTGTTGCCAATATTAATAAAGTTAACGCGGCACCTATAATCGGAATTAGAAATGGTCCACCTGGTACTTTGAATCTTCTAGGCGCATTTGGGGCTTTAAATCTTAATATTGTTACCCCTATGTTTACTAAAAAGAAAGCCAATAGCGTACCGACCGATGTCAACTCAGCAAGTATCTCAATTTGAAACAGCGCAGCTGCTGTAGCACAAATTGCTCCACCAATTATAGTTATTAGATATGGTGTACCAAATCGAGGATGAATTTTTGAAGCGATGCCGGGTAAGAATAACCCATCACTGTAAATTGTGAAATATATTTTTTAGCACGTTCAGAATGATCAAAAAAAATTTGATGAAAAAATATGAAAAAATTACTTTGCCATCGCCAAGAAAATACGCGGTTGTCCCATCAATGATACAAGAATAACAGATATCAGACCACATACTGCGCCGAGATCCACAATCACTCCCAACCATTTCATTCCAGTTTCATTGACTGCTACAGATATCGGCGCAGGGCTGTCAAGCTTCTTGTACGATACTACACCGGTCAACACGACGCTTTAAAATGAAAATTAAATTAGGGATGTTTTCAAAACAACAAATCCTTGCCATAGTCTTTGTAAAGGTTGCATGACCTAGTTGCATTAATCTTCAAAAATATATTATAACTAGATCATAATTGTTGGCAAATATTAACATGTAGGAAACTTACCATACGGCGACATAAATTACAGAGACAATACCGAAACTGCCCATAATCGCAATTGGTAAATCTCTCTGCGGATTTCTAGATTCTTGTGCAATTGTCGAAATCGAGTCAAATCCGATAAATGCAAAGAACACAATACTGGTCCCTGCTAATATTCCAGTAACCTAAATTTCATCATAATTTGAGTTTCATTGAAAAACTTGATCAACAATTTAATATTAAATAAACATACACCAAATCTTGAAAATGATCCTTCATTTGGTGGAATAAAT